TTCGACTTTCTCGCCGTTCGCCTCGAACTTTTACAGGATTCGCTCAGCGGGGTAGCGCTATCGAATTCTAATGAAGAAAAAGGATAATTTCAAAATTTTAACGCTTCTTCCGTAATTCTCATCTCTGTCGCCTGAGATACGTCGATTTGAAATTCGCCAAGAAGCCCGAAGCAGCATCACGGAGCAATAGGTGCCGTACTCGAAGCTTCCTCCGTAAATACGGCTCGTCAAAGCCGAATTCGGTTGGCGAAATGTTCGTCACACGTTAATTATTAAATAATCCCTTGTCCCGAAGGAACGTACGCGCAGTCCTGGGACAATGAAACGCAGGCTTCCTCTATTGGCTCGTTATCCTTCCTGCTTCGGTCCAGCGCACGCTAGAGCGTCGCGTGTCTGCACTCTTTCTATGGGAATGTCCTGGTGGTGCGACTCAAGACGAGAGAGCAAGCGCAAATGATTCATGGATCGCTTTAATCGGTGCTGATTCTTCCTAGGGCACTCGTGGCTCGTTCCTTTCCTTCCTTTCCTTCCTTTCGTTCCTTTCGTTCCTTTCCTTCCTTTCCTTCCTTTCGTTCATACCGCCTGACAAGCCTCCTATCGTCAAGCACGCATTTTCCAAGCAAGATATTCTTGCAAAAAGACAGGATTTCACACATATTCCGTATACACGCACAATACGCACACACCTACTCCCGACTCCCGACTCCCTACTCGCAATAACCGCTAACGAATACCTTCATTCCCTCGTATCTCTTTCAAAATATATCTCGCAATCAAGATTATTCACTTTTGCATAATTATTATTGCGCGTCCGAATCTTAGAAGCGAACTTGGAGAATTCAAACTTTTAATGAGATGCGATTTGTTAACACTACTATAGGTTTACGAGACGCGTCATTTTGACGTAGATATTTCGAATTTCATGAGGAAAATCACAGAAACCGTTCACATTTTTCTTCTACCACTTGTACTGACTTTTATCCCTTTAACGAGACAAGTACATGCCGAAATTCATTTTCCTCAAAGCTTTCTAATTTTGAATTTCTTTTTGTGATATATCTACCTCTCTCTACGGATCAATCGCGTCAATCTGACGCGATTGTAAAGTAATCATTAATGCTAGTAAATTGGCTTCACTGATGAAAGCATTACTGCAGTAATAAAAATAAACGTGATAAGTTCTGCAAGAAAGTAAATGTCAAAAGTAAGCAAGTTTCATGAACAATGGAACGGCGACACTTCCAACCGGATAGCTCTAATTTGAACTGGTTCACACGGCGTCGCCACTGTTTAAATGTCCTACGTATTTACGTTGGAAAACCCTCATGCAGAAAATGTATAGTAAATGTTGAATATTATACATTTTATATATATATATCGAATTAACGCGTGTCCGTAGAGATAGGTATGGAAGAAATGTCCATAAAGCTAGTATTAAGTAGCCCGTGCTGGATATATCTATATACCGCTGTAATGAGCCCAAACGTAAAGAGTAGTGACATCCATAGGATAAGATCGAAAGCTAGTCTTACTTAAGTTTATATTTCTTGAAATTTGTCAATTTAGAAAGGGCTTTTATTTAAACCCCGACTTGGAACTATTGACGGGACTGTTCATAAACATCAAAGGAATAACGGAGAGATTTGTTAAAACGAATGGATGACATACGTCCGTGATAAATTGGGACATCTACCAGTGAAACGGAACCTCGCAGCCAATTCCTATATAATTAAATCCACGGTTACAACGTGCATCATATTGCCAGAATAACGAACAGCTAAGATCACATTATTTATTTCAGTTTGGTTTTTTTTTTTATAATTTTTTAAAGATAAGTGCGGGTTATGAGTGTGATGGAATGCGTAATGAATGGTACATCCTAAAATCGCCTAATTTAATCGAATATTGTTTTTGTTTTATGTATGTAAAGATACTCATTTCTTTGGAGGTTTATTCGTGTCCTTTCAATTATTAGAATAAAGTGTTTAAGTAATATTACACCGCCATTATTGATTCATACTCTCATCAAGGAAAGTTAAACGCGACGATGCAGAAGCTGCTACTCGCTGTAAAAGGAGCCCTTTGATTGGGGAATTGGACAATTTTTTCGAAATACTCTCAAAACACTCTTCACACTGTATTCACAGAAGCTGCAGCCTGAAATTCCCATTTGCTTCTCCACATATGTGATATTCCATTAACGAGTTTTATCAGTTCATTGCTTTGTCCTTCGTTCCATTTAACCACTTGCAGTTTCATTCTTTTTTTGGAAGAGAAGTTTAAAGTAGAGGCTTGGCTATCTCGCAAGAGGAAAACACGTGTTATCGACGGTAAAGAATAAGTTGGAGAGGGGGCAGAGGGGGCAGAGGGGACAGAGGGAGCAGGGGCCTTGGCTTTCCCTACCCCGGCTAACCGCTACTTCCCTCGTTCCTCTTCTCCCTCAGCCCCCCCCC